GATGGAGGAGATCAGGAAGGGAAGGGGAAGGAAAAGGGAAAGGGAAGGGAAAAGGGAAAGGAAAAGGGAAGGGAAAAGGGAAGGGAAAAGGGAAGGGAAAGAAAATAACATTTCCAGGATGTTCCTGGATGGTTCTGCTCCAGAGCTGAGGGGCTCCAAAGCCAGTGGGGTTGCTGGAGGGCACAGGCTGGCAGAGGTGACCTGCAGCAGGATGGCCACCCGTGGAAGGTGGCCTGGAGGGGTTGTTGGCCAGGGATGGCATCTGGGGGGACTCCAGGTCACCACCAAGAGTGATTGGCCCTCCTGGTGTTCAGAGCTCTTGCCCTCCAGCCAGTGGTGTCTGCTCAGGGCAGCTGCTGGTGGGCAGGGGTCTGGTGGGGCTGGCATGACATGCTCTGGGGTGCTGGGGACTCTGGTGGTGGCAGGGGTGGGACCATGAGGGGGAGGAGGGGGCTGGGGAAGAGGCAGGAGACTCAGGAATATCCAATAAGGACCTGGGTGGTTTAACCTGGATATTTGGGGAAGGTAGAAGCCCAGAAGGACACATGCTCAACAGGAAGGACTCAGGCAGCACTGACCTTGCTTCAAATACACTGATGAGGAGTTAATTTCTGGGCATAATTCCCTGTGGATTGCAGCTGATCCTGAGCACAACTGGGCCTGCTGGAGTGCATTGGTCCTCCCAGCAGACACACCTGCCCAGTGGAAAGGCTCTTGACACATCATTTTCCTCCAGGTTGGACCCTTTGCTGCCTGGAAGGAGGTGACATTTTTCTTTTGCAGCCTAAATCCTGTTTTTCCTTCCTTCTGTGCTTTAGGTTAAATTCTTCCTGATAATTCAGATTATTAAAAACCAACCAACAAACCACAAAAACACAGGCAAAAAAACCCCAACAAATCAAAGAAGGATGATATGGAATAACAAGCTGTGTCCATTCAGGCAGGTTCTCCTGCTCTTGGGAAGAGGTGTCCATGGCTCTTTCCATGGCCACATGGAGCTCTTGAGCTTTGCTCTGTGTCTTGCACTGGATATTCCTCTGAATTTCTCCCTTTGGTTGGTATTTTTAAAATGGTTTCAGCATGTTTTTTGGCTGCTGGACTGAATATGACACATGCCTTGAAGGCTCCCCTGGATCTGCACAAGATGGGGGGGTCCTATAGTGTA